GCAGTGCCCCCACCACCACCGCCAGCAGCAGCAGTGCCAATGGCAACAATTTCATCAATCACCCCGCCAACAGGTAGCTTGCCTTGTGGAGCGTCCGGAGCGCCAGGGACTGTGCCCCAATCGGTCGCTGTAATGCCTCCCACGCGGGCAAAGCCTCCTGCTTCCTTCTCCACAGGCAACGGTCTTCCTCCCCAAACGTGTATCTATGAAGAGACGCGACGTCAGCTAGAAGAAGCCGCACTGCAACAGGTGGCGAGCGCCGCGGGCGACCGCTACTTGGATCTCGACGAAGTGGTGCGGGATCAAGTCTGCAAACTGTTTTTTATGAACAAGAATGATGTGGGCACGATGATGACCAACATCGTAAAAAGTTTGCAATGCCTGGGGCGATACGATGTGGGCTTGCTCCGTAACGATGACAGCACGGCTTTTACTGTAATTCAGTCCCAGCCATTTCATGAGACCCTCGCTACAGATGAATCTCAAATGATAGAAAGGCGCCGACGTGCTATTCGTGAAGGCAAGAGTAGAATAGAAAGAGCGGATAGTCGCTCCAAGGCGAGGTTCTCCAGAGTGGCTCAATCAGGAATGGGAGGCAAGGAGCAGTTGGGCTGCAAACCTCCCCAGTCTGCTCGCAAGGAGGCGAAGCCATGTACTCCGAGTTTCTCCAAAACGTCGTACGAACAGATACAGGAGTTGCTTCAGGCCAGTCAGGCAAACAAAGCGAGTAGGGAACAAGGCGCATCGGCAATTTCTCGCGTCGAGCGTCCATCATCTCTTAAGAGCAGTGGCTACCTGCTCTGGCGCTACGGAGGGAATTACCCAAGGGAGAACTACTACGAGCATTATCGCTTGCACGGCCTAAAGAAATGACGATGTGCATCATGTTCATTTGACCCGCTGAATTAAGCGGGACCGATAGAGGCACACAGTGGAAATGTCACAGAGCATTTGTTGTTCGTGGTGTTGGGTGTAGAAATGCTCAACTTCACATCTATAAAATACACTCTTTTTATTCTAGATCTTTTAACCTCTGTGTATGTTGTGTCTGTGTGTTTGTGTGTGCATAGGGGTGAAAAATGTGGCATCGTAGCACTTGTTTGAGAGGAACGCTGATTCTAACGGTCTTGATGTCCCTCATTCTGCAGTGCATCTATATGGCAAGTGTGAGTCCCGTCCTTAAGAAGGAACACACAAGTCAGCATTACCGCGCAAATGTATCGGAGTCATCGTGGAGCCAACGACTCTACGCACCCACTTTCATTACGAAGATCGATGACGTGTACCTTCTTGTTGACTCTTGGCATCATCGAGTTATATACAACACGAACCTAGATGCGCCCGTGGGCAAGTGGCGGTCTCTTCTTGCTGACGGCCCCATTTGGATACCTCACAGTGTTGCGAATAATGGCGAAGTTATGTTGGTGGAGAGTTCGGACCATGGCAGTAGTGGTAGTAATCACTCCCTCATTGTGTATCGGATTGTGCGGAAGGTGCCAGGCAAAGTGGAACGGTTTACATTCGTCCAGCGCTTGCAATTGTGCGCTGGGAAAAGTGTGTTTCGACCACATCGAATCCAGTACGACTCCAATACCGATGCCTTCTATGTGTACATCACGGGGCCTCCGACCCTGGGGAAGTACAGGTGGTCCACAAAAGATCAAAAACTCTACCATGTGTACTGTGAAGACCTTTCCTTCATGGAGGGGGCCTACGCCCGCTCATTCACAATCATAAATGACGTTTTTGTTTTTATTGCAGGGCCGCGAAGCTCTCTGACATTTGCAAGACTGGAAGGTGTCAATGGAACGCCGCGCTATACAGGCCGCGCCAAACTTGGCTGGTTGGGCATCAAGTCAAGGTCCATGAATGATGTTGTCTATATGGACAACTACTGGTATATTAGCAGCACATATCCTTGTTCATTACTTCGTGTTAAATCGCTGAAAAGGGGACCTGTTGAAATGCTACACAAACGTCTGAACCTCTGTCGAGCGCGTGCGCAGGGTCCGGGCGTCCTTGCAGGCGGGCGGTGTAACCTCCTGGGAACACCCTACTACTCCAGTTTTGTTGATGGAAAAATGATGATACCATTCTTGTTTCATTGTAGTGGTGTGCTTTCCTACGACCCTGTGAATGGCTCGTCAACCGTTCTCTGGGGCTCTGGATGGACAGAGGCGCCCGAGGATGTCAAGAGACGCGGTACTGAATGGTAAGTTTGTGTGACAGCGATTGAGTCGTTTTTGTTTCCATACTCACTTGGTTTTCCTGCACTCGTGTGATTTTTATCTCACTAGTGTATCACACATACTATTTACGTTTCCTCGTGGACACATTTTTGTTTGGGGGGGTGGGGGGGAACAGAGGTGGATGCGGAGCGATCTGCCCAAGTGCCGGCGTTGTGTGTTACAAGTGCCATGGGGTTTATGAGGCGTCCGAAGCACAATGACTTTTGGTTGTTTTTGGGGGCATTCCGGGTGGTCTTGCCATGTCCCTGTTTCTCCCGCCGTGTGGATGAAAGTAACTTTTAAGGAGAATTAGTGGTATTCTGTGTAGGCAAACAAAAAAAAAGCAAGAAACAAAAACGAAAAAAAGAAGAGCAGACGCGTGGGAAGCAAAACGATAAAAGCTCAAAAACAACAAAAGAGATACGTAAGGTTTACTCAGAATCTCATTTAAAACCCGGCAGAAATGGCGCGACGTAAGGTCATTATCGACACTGATTGTGGCGGCGATGATGCGATTGGAATCATGACCGCCATGACGCACCCAGATGTAGACGTTATCGCCATTACGGCTGTGTGGGGTAACGTCGACGTGGATCAGGGCATGGAAAACCTGGGGAAGCTGCTGGACCTGTACGAGCGCGACGTACCTTTCTACCGTGGCGCCGCGGGCCCACTGGTGACGGAGCGCGAGACGGTGCAGTGGGGCGGTTTCGGCAAGGACGGTTTCGGTGACGCCGGATTTCCCCCGTCTGCGCGTGTGGCGATGCAGTCGCGCAAACACGCCGCACTGGCTCTGGTGGACATTCTTAGGGAGGCCAAGCCTTCGGAAGACGAGGTCTACCAGCTGGTGTGTCTCGGGCCGCTGACCAACATAGCCCTCGCCATGCGTCTTGACCCTGAGGCCTTCTCGGTTCTCGGCTCCGATACGGTTCCCGCGCTGACGGTCATGGGTGGGACAAGCGAGGGGAAGGGCAATTCCAATTTGATGGCGGAGTTTAACTTCCACTGCGATGCGGAGGCGGCCTTTGTTGTGTTCCACCACAAGGAGATCAGGCAGCCCTTACAGATGGTCAATTGGGAGGTCACCGTTAACTGTGCCATGCCGTGGCGGTTCTACGATGAGTGGGTAAATCGACGCGAGACTCCGGAGGGTCGCGAATCGTTTGACCAGAACAAATCCCAGTTATTTATTGAGAAGATGTTCCAGCGGCTGGAGGTCTTCACACGACCTGACGAAGAGGGAAAAAAGGCTGACACAGGTGATGCTGAAGCGACGCAAGACATCACATGCGTCATCCCAGATGCTGTGGCGATGCTCGTGGCGCTGTACCCTGAGAGCGTGGAAGACAGTTTCCTCACGTACGTCACCATTGAGATGCAGGGACGAGAGACCCGCGGTGCAACGTGTATTGATTGGTATGGCACAGATCAATCCATGGCGAAGAAAGGGCGCCATCGTAACTGCCACGTCATCACGAGGGTGAACTGCGATACGTTCCTACGCGTCATGCAGCAGATAGTGGACTTCGACCTCTAAATAGACGAGCCGAATAGTAGTGTAAGCCTCTTCATAGGCACCCAACGCCACAGCCAGTACGTGTCGCCCAAGGAAAAGATTCAAACTCATCTGCTCTAACTACGTGCGATGGAAGGAAGTTAGTTGTGTGGGTGGTGTGACGTCATTGAGAAGCGAAGGGATTATCATGGCTGTGGTTGTTCAAGCAATCACTGGACGTGGGGGCTGGGGGAGAGGAGGTAAATGAAAACGAGAAACGGTGCAGTGGATAAGGGTGTGGAATGTATGCTGTTTTTTACACTGTGTGTGTGTGTACGCTGCGCTGCACCCTCCATCGAAATGATTGCGCGGGGTTCAGAGAGAAAGGTATGGTAAGAATTCAAAAAAAAAACGAAATGGCAGCTACTCCCCACATCTCTACTTGACCAGGCTGTTTTTTTTTGTTCTTTTTATTTGTCTGTGGTTGATCTTTTTTGATCTGTTGAATGGAATGCTGAGGGGCCGGGGTATCTGTCTCTCTTTGTCATTCCTTCGCTTATTGTTGTGGTTGGTGGTGTTGATTATGTTTTGGTTTTTCTCCCACTCCCCGCTCCTCCATTGAGATCGCCCTCCGCAAGTGTGTGTGTGTGTGTGTGTGTGTGTGGTGGTGGTGATGGTGGGCAACGTGAGTGATGTTGATTTATGTCGCAGTGGGGCAAAGGCAACAAAAAGAAGAATACGCAGGTTTTTTTTTTTTTAGGCACATGATTGTGTCACAATATTGGGCAAGAGGCCAGCAGCTGCATTCTTCGCACACCCTCCCTTCAGTGTGTCTTTCCTTCGACACGACTCATCTTCTTTCGCGTCTTCATATCACTGCTGTCCATAACGCACGCAAAGGAAGGGAAATAAGCAAGGGCGGGTGTGTGTCGTCGTTGCATCGCCGCCTGTGCTGCACTAAGACACACACGCATACGCACAACCATATATATATATATATACTTTGTGCCTCTTGAGGCGTGGGTGGTGGGACATGGTGGTGTTTGAAGCACGCCAGAAGGTGTACGCGACCCTGCACGGCACCTTCCATGCCGCCATCGTGCAGGAGGTGGCGCAGGATGCCGTGACGGGGCAGTACCTCTACTACGTGCACTACGTCGAGCAGGACAGCCGCATGGACTGCTGGCTGCCGGCCACTGAGCTAAAGGAGCGGCGGCAGGGGCGGCAGTCGAGCAAGCAACAGGCCAACAAGCCAAGCGGAGGTGGCATCACGACACGCGGCCAGAGCCGTCTCGTCGCGGAGCAGGACGAGGAGGTCCCGCGGAGCCCCGCCACGCCGGCCTCGTCGGCGAAGCGCAGCAATGTGCAGAACTGCGTCAAGGTGTCGACGATGCGGGCGCGCAAAGACAGCTCCTTCTTCTGCCGCGCAAAGAACATCCACGCCATCTGCATGGGGCCGCACGAGGTGGAGGCGTGGTACTTCTCGCCCTACCACCTCGCCCGTCCGCAGGTGCAGCAGGCACTGAAGCAAAATGCGGAGCTCTTTGCGGGGGACACAGAGCTGCAACTGCGTCAGGGCGACAACGGTAGTGCGTTTCGACCTTTCATTGCTCCAACATCGTTCGTGCTGCACATCTGTCCCTTTTGTCTGCATCCCTTCACTTCGCACGACGATGTGGTGCGCCACCTGCGCCTCGCATGCCTACGCTACCCGCCGGGTAACGAGATTTACCGCGACCCTGTGCGGCAGCTCGTCGTGCTGGAGATGGATGCGATGGTTGAGCCTGTCTTCTGTGAGCACCTCGCTCTTTTGTCTAAACTGTTCCTTGAGCACAAGGCGCTTGATCACGACATGACGCCGTTCCTATTCTACGTGCTCTGCGCAGTGCAGCCGCACGGGTTGGAAGTACTGGGATACTTCAGCAAGGAGAAGCAGTCACCGGAGATGTATAACCTCTCCTGCATTCTTGTGTTGCCGCAGTTCCAGAGCCGCGGGATTGGGCGCTTCCTCATTGAGCTCAGCTACGAGCTCTCACGGCGTGAGGGAAAGATTGGCTCGCCGGAGAAGCCGCTGAGCGATCTCGGTGAAAAACTATACTTGGGCTACTGGGGCGACACCATTGTCTCCGCCCTGGCACACGCCATGGAGGAGAGCCACTGCGTTACGCTTGACTACCTCGTGCAGGCAACGTTCATGTCGCAAGCGGACGTGGCGCGGACGCTACAGTACCTGAAGCTTATCAACGGCACACAAATCATCGTGTCGGAGGAAAGCATCGAGCGCTGCTACTCGAAGCGCCTGCGCCGGGAGAGGAGCGGGCAGAATTACATCTTTTATCCACACCTGCTGAGCTGGAGTCCGCACATGTACTACGAGTTGAAGGAGCAGGATATCTCACCGCCCATCTATGTGACGAGGGGTGAGGCGGCGGAGCAAGACGATGGGGCTAAGCGACGGCGTATCCGTTAGCCACAGCGTCTTTTGCTTGTTTGTTTGTAGTTGTTGCTGTTGTTGTTGTTGTTGTTTCTGCTGCTGGTGTCGTCGTCGTTGATTGATGTTGTCGTGATCGCCGCACACGTGCTGTGTGGTGCAGGCGCCGGAATGTTCGTCGGCACAACGGTCAGAGTTGCCGCCGCATCCGCAGGAAAGAAAAAAATACCGCTGTTGCTCGTGATCGACTGGAACGCTATTGTGTTTCATATACATGCGGGGGTGCGCACACACAGACGCGCATGCATACATGCATGGGTATACGTTGGGACATTCGGTGTTCTTGTCTCTTATTTTGTCTGTTTTCTCGTCGGGCTCTTGTGTGTTGTTGTTGTTGTTGTTGT